CTGTTACTAACCCCATTAGACCTTTAGGTTAAAGAGCAGTTACTAACCCCATTAGACCTTTAGGTTAAAGAGCAGTTACTACCCCCATTAGACCTTTTGGTTAAAGAGCAGTTACTAACCCCATTAGACCTTTAGGTTAAAGAGCAGTTACTAAAACCCCATTAGACCTTTAGGTTAAAGAGCAGTTACTAACCCCATTAGACCTTTAGGTTAAAGAGCAGTTACTAACCCCATTAGACCTTTAGGTTAAAGAGCAGTTACTAAAACCATCTCACTTAGTTAGGAAAAACTGAATTACTCCTCATTCGTTTTACAGTTATTAAAGTTAATCCTAAATAAATACTTCAAATTCTGAAATAAGTAGTGAATGGATTTTATTTTTAATTTCAATGTTTACATGAGGTATGTCTTTTACAATTGGTCGATGTTTTTGTTAAGTCTCTCAGATTCTCATATTTTTTTTAACTACACTTAAACCTCATGACTGTTTTTTTTTTTTCTCTCTTTAGATTACTGGGAAATAGAATAACAGAACTGGAAAAACAAATGCAAGCTGTGGGAACTGATTCTGTTCAGATTTATGTGGACAATGGTAAACTTGAAAAAATTTCCTGCAGCCCATGGAATAAAATTATAGAAGCATCACGCATATGGCAATGTTGTTAGGCTAGGTTCATACCCGTGTCATTAATTTATAGTTAGCATTTTGTGAGGTATTATGTAGCTTGCATTATACTTTTCAAAATATTGTCGTCTAATCTTAAGCCTTTCTGTGGCCCACCTCAAATCGTTTTGTGGCTCACCAGTTGAGAAACGCTGGCCTAAGCGTATCTCGTATCATCATAGATAGAAAAATTGAGATAGAATATTATCAATAATGAGTAAATATAAGTTTTGTATCTATTATTTAGTGAAAATCAGTGTTAACTGAAGTATAGATGATGTAATAAAGAGAATTGAAATGATGAATAAACTTGACGTGTTAACTGAAGTATCGATGAAAACGTTGAACAAATGTAATATTTCTCATGGTCATTATTCATACTCTGATAATGATTAATCACTGAAAATAACACGGGCCTGCGAATTTAAACTTCATAAAAGTTGTTTTGGTTTTAATAATGGCTTTTTCCATAATTCAGCCGTGCAGATTTCGAAAATAGTATTCATTTTTTTCTGTCATGTAAGGATTTTTTTACAAATTGGGAAGAAGAAAAAAACACTTAGATCAATCTTTGATAGGTTGTTTAGGCAGAGAATTCATAATGAATCTAAGTTTCAAATGGACAGCAACTGCCCGTTGTAGAAACCTACAAATGTAGAGGACGACGTTTAGAAAGTCTACCGCCTTGAAGTCTTCCGACCTGAAGACTAAAGGCGGAAGACTTTCGAAATGTCATCCTCTACATTTGTAGGTTTCTATAACAGGCAGTTGCTGTCCATTTGAAACTTAGACTCTCTTAAATCAAATTATTATTTTGTTTACCACAATGAAAATTTTTTATGATTATGTTTGTTAACAAAAATACAAACAAGCTGAAGAAAAGGGAAGAACTTTGCTGTCAAACGAATGTGCATCCTCATTCATCCTGATTGCTTTTGTAAAAAAAAATCTACATCTTTTTAGTCTCAAAACTACATATTGTGGTCTTTCTTTTTTTTTGTATTGTGTTGTGACCTTTTGTGAAAAACCTGTATGTGATGGAGAAAATGGATATCATTTTCGGATTCAGCGTACAGGAATAACTGTAGTACATGTAAAAATATCAAGACAATAAAATCATCGCAGGCCTGTGTTATAGGAAGTAACTTCAACTTTGACATCTATTCTACAATGTCTCCTTTTGTGTCTTTTAGGGGGGGCAAATATGCTTTAATGTTGTATTTCATAAATAGTGAAGCAATAATCTGTGTTAGTTATCATATTACACTACACTAAACTACACAGTATTTAAATATTCATTTTTTATAATGAATTTAGAGAAAGAAACAGAAAACTTTATGAGAGTTTACAATGGAGATGGGGATGGTGACATTGTTGACAAAATGGGAGATGAAAGTTTAGAGGCGACTTGTGTGGAACAAGAATCATCTACTCATACTGAATCATGCTGCAAGTCCATATCAGATTCTGATCTTCCAATTTCAAACTTAGAGGGTCAGAACAACACTGTCCATCATGATATCGATGTTCTCCCAACCATGGAAAGTGAACAGTCAGGTAAGAAAAAAGTTTATTGTTGAATAGATAACATTAATTCTCTTTACATATTTTATTGTTGAATTGATAACATTAATTATCTTTCCATATTAGTTGATTTTTGTATATTGTTGAATAGATAACATTAATTCTCATTACATATTTTATTGTTGAATAGATAACATAAATTCTCTTTCCATATTAGTTGATTTTTGTATATTGTTGAATAGATAACATTAATTCCCATTACATATTTTATTGTTGAATAGATAACATAAATTATCTTTCCATATTAGTTGATTTTTGTATATTGTTGAATAGATAACATTAATTCCCATTACATATTTTATTGTTGAATAGATAACATAAATTCTCTTTCCATATTAGTTGATTTTTGTATATTGTTGAATAGATAACATTAATTCTCTTTACATATTTATTGTTGAATAGATAACATTAATTCTCTTTACATATTTTATTGTTGAATAGATAACATTAATTCTCATTACATATTTTATTGTTGAATAGATAACATTAATTCTTTCCATATTACGTGATTTTTGTATATTGTTGAATAGATAACATTAATTCTCATTACATATTTTATTGTTGAATAGATAACATTAATTCTCTTTTCATATTACTTGATTTTTGCAATGCTTTCAACCGAAGACTAAAGTTTAATGATATTTTATCTTTCATTATTTTTGTATAAAAAACAACAAACAAACTAACTTATTAATGAATAAAAGATGGCTTAAAATAGTGATATTAGTATGCAAAGTAAAACTGTAATCAGTGATCCCACCCCTTAAAATAATGTTGATTTAGGCTCAAAATTGAAATTTCACAGTATATTCAGTTTAAAAAAAGAAACTGAACTGAATGAAATAACGAAGAAAGAAAGCTAGGTATGCATGGGTACCCGGCCAGATATTTAGCCCGACCGGGGATTGGACTACCCGATAATACTCGACTTTGGCTGAGTGTCGAGGTTAGGCATCTAAGCCCTAATCTTTGTGGCAACTAATGCAGTAGTGAAAGTTACAGTCAATAATTGGTTTAGTTATAAAAAAACGTGTTCCGACCAACAAAGATTGACCGCCAGCTGAAAGTCGGGGATTCAGAGAACAATAGGGGTTAATAAAAGGCATAACTTGAGAAGTGGATTTCTGGGGAAGGTGGGGGTTTTGAGAACAATAGGGGTTAGGGTTTGAGAAGTTAGGACTAGGCATTGAAAGTTGAAAGTAAAACTTAAATGTTCTCTTGGTGATATTTCGGTTTAATGTAATAAATGTCAATTTTTTTTTTAAAATAATTTTTGTGTATATTTGTT